GTGTTCCAGATCTTAGAGAAAAGGCCTTTAGTTGTCCCCCATTCAGTATGATGCTAGCTGTGTGTCATGGGACACACAAAAGTTGTATATGACTTTTGTTATGTTAGGTATGTTCCCTCAATACCAGTTTTTCAGGATTTTTATCGTGAAGGGATGTTGAACTTTATCAAATGCTCTTTCAACATTAATTGAAATGGTCATATGGTTTTTGTCTTTCATTCTGTTAATATGATGTATCATATTGATTGATTTGCATAAGTTGTAACTTTCTTGCATCCCTGGGATAAATCCCACTTGGTCATGATGAATGATCTTTTTAATGTGTTGTTGAATTCAGTCTGCTAGTATTCTTCAGAGAATTTTTACATCAATATTCATCCATGATATTGGCCTGTAGTTCTTCTTTATTCATGTGTATTTGTCTGGTTTTGGTATCAGGGTGATAGAGGCCTCGTAGAATAACTTTGGAAGTATTCCCTCTTCCACCACTTTTAGGAATAGTTTCAATAGAATTGGTGTTTGTTCTTTTTAAATGTTTGGTCATTTAAAGTCAGCTCATAGGCTTTTTTGTTTTTGTTTTTGTTTTAATTACTGGAAGTCTTTTGATTGGAATTTAGATCTTGTTACTTGTTATTGGTCTGTTCATGTTTTGAATTTCTTCCTGGTTTAATCTTGGTATGTGTCTAGGAATTTGTAGATTTCTTCCAGATCTTCAAATTATTGTCAGATAGTAGCCATAGTAGCCCCTAATGATCCTGTGAATTTCTGTGCTATCTGTTGTAATGTTTCCTTTTTACCTAGGATTTTATTTATTTGAATCTTCTTTCTCTTTTTCTGAGTTAGTCTGGCTAAAGGTTTGTCAGTTTTATTTAGTTTAAAAAAAAAACAAACAAATTTTTAATTGTTCTCTTCATTTCTATTTCATTTATTTCTTCTCTGATCTTTATTATTTATTTTATTCTAGTAATGTTGAGTTTGGTTTGCTCTTGCTTTTCTAGCTCTTTAAGATGCATCATTAGGTTGTTTGGGTGTTTGATGATTAAATGCTTTGAGATACTCTGGGTTAAATTTGCTTGATGTTCTGTAACCTTCTTGTACTTGGATCTTCATACTGTTCTTTAGGTTTAAGAAGTTCTCTGTTATTATTCCTTTGAATAAACTTTCTACCCCTATCTCTTTCTCTATCTCCTGTTTCAGGGTGATAACTCTTAGGTTTTCCCTTTGAGGTTATTTTCTTGATCCTATGGGTGTGCTTCATTGTTTTTTATTCTTTTTTTCTTTGGTTTCCTGACTGTGTATTTCAAAATAAACTGTCTTTACACTAATTCTTCTGTTTGATCAATTCTGTTTTTGAAAGATTCTGATGTCTTCAATATGTCAATTGCATTTTTCAGTTCCAGAATTTTTGCTTGATTCTTTTTAATTATTTCCATGCCTTTGTTACATTTATCTCATAGAATTATAAACTTTTTATCTGTGTTATCTTGAATTTCTTTGAGTTTCCTCAAAACAGCTATTTTGAATTCCTGTTTGAAAGTTCACATACCTCTGTTTCTTCAGGATTGGTCCCTGCTGCCTTATTTCATTCATTTTGTGAGGTCATGTTTTCTTGAATGGCCTTGATACTTGTGCATGTTCTTTTGTGTCTAGGCATTGAAGACTTAGGTACTTATCATAGTCTTCACAGTCTAGGCTTGTTTGTTCCTGCCCTTCTTAGGAAGGTTTTCCAGGTCTTTGATCTAAGGTGCATCTGCATTAAGGGGCACCTCAAGCCCAGTAACCTGTGGTTCCTGCAGACTTGTAGAGGTACTGCCTTATGATCTTAGACATAATCTGGGAGAATTCTTTATATTACTATGCAGAGAATCATGTTCTCTTTCCTTACTTTATCCCACAAAAATGGAGTCCCTCTCCACGTTCTGAGCCACCTGGAGCTTTGGGTTAAGAAATATAAGCACCCCTGTGGATACAACCACTATGACTGCACTGAGTCAGACCTGAAGCCAGCACAACACTGGGTCTCACCCAAGGCCTGTTGTAACCACTCCCTGGCTATCAACTGTGTTTGCTCAAGGCTCTGGGGTTCCACAATCAGCAGATAGTGAAGCCTGACAATCCTGTGTCCTTCTTTCCAGATGGCAAGTTACCCCAGGCTCTGGGCGTGTCCTGAGGTGCCATCCAGGAGCCAGGGACCAGAGTCAAAAACCTTAGAAATTTACTTGGTGTTCTATTGTACTGTGGCTAAGCTGGCACACAAACCCCAAGATGTGGTCCTTCTCACTCTTTCATCCCCTCTCCAAAGCTAGAGGAGACTCACCCCATGGCTGCTGCCCATGACAGGCACATAGAATGCTGCCAAGCAACCTCCATTGTTCCCTTAAGACTCAAGGGCTCTTAAATCAGGTTGGCATATTCAGTTGATTACTGATTAGTGCATTTGTGTGAGTAAATTATTCAAGGTTGGTGAAAGAAACATGTGAAAGAATTAGAGACAACAGTACTCAATGCTCTTACAGAACTGGGAGTACTGCGTATTCCCTCCAGTCAGTTGGAAAAACTTCATGATTCATACGGTATTGGTAGAGTGCACAAAAGAGTTTTGCTTTAGTATTGGAGGATAATTATATCTAGGCTCACTAATGCCTGTAACAAATATTACAAATTAGACCCAAAGGGATCGAATGATTTCAAAGTAACTTAATGTATTCTAGTACAAAAGTGAAGATTATTCATAATGTGTGGTCTTTTATGTCTGGCTTCTCTCACTTAGCATAATGTCTTTTTTTTTTTTTTGAGATGGAGGTCTCACTTTGTCATCCAGGCTACAGTGCAATGGTGCGATCTCAGCTCATGGCAACCTTCGTCTCCTGGGTTCAAGGGATTCTCTCACCTCTGCCTCCTGAGTAGCTGGGACTACAGGCACATGCCAACATGCCCAGCTAATTTTTCTATTTTTAGTAGAAATGGGGTTTCACCATGTTGGCCAGGCTGGTCTCGAATTCCTGACCTGAAGTGATCCATGCACCTCGGCCTCCCAAAGTGCTGGGATTACAGGTGTGAGCGACCATGCCCAGCCAGCATAATGTTCTTAAGGTTCACCCATATAGTATTATGTACTGATACTTCATCCCCTTTCATAGCCAAGTATTATTCCATTGTATGAATAGACCACATTGGTGTATCTACTACCAGTTGAGGGATATATGGTTTGTTTCTACCTTTTGGTCATTATGGATAATATAGCTATGAACATTTATGTACACATTTTGGGTGGATGTATGTTTTCATTACTTTTGGATGTATTCCTGGGAGTGGAATTGTTGGGTTAAATGGTATGTTTAACTTTTTAAGATACTGCCAGACTGTTTTTCAAAGTGGCTGCACCATTTTACATTCCCTCTGGCAGTGTATTAGGGTTCTGACTTCTCCATATCCTCACCAACACTTCTCATTATCTCTATGTTATGATAGCTGTCCTAGTGGGTAAGAAATGGCATCTCATTGTGGTTTTTACTTGCATTTCCCTTGACTAATGATGTTTAGAATCTTTTCATGTGCTTGTTAGCCTTTTGTATGTCTTCTTTGGAGAAATATCTACACAGATCTCTTTTAATTTGGTTATTTGTCTTTTTATTATTAACATGTGAGCCCATTGACTCTTTGATCCATAACTAAGGATTGTCAGAAGGGCCATTGGAATTCTATTGGAGCTATTCTTTGTTATTCATTTAGTAAATAAAAAACCATTTCAATATCCCTGAGGAAATCATAGAGATTAGGACCATCATCAAATACTGGAAAGATGCACAGGTATAGAATCTTACTGTATTTCCATTTAATTGTCTAGTATGAATAGTACAAAATAGGTGAATCTAGTAGTATAACACTGGACCACTTAAATGAGTGTACCTCCAATTGGATTGGACATTATTGATATGGTTATAATTGTTGAACACCTGATATACAACCTTTGATCTTGTTTATTCTTTTTACTTTGCTCCAATAAGCAGGGAACAACAGAAATTTGCTTTCATTTGAAGGATGTTTAACTCAGGGACATGTGAACCTCCTAGTTTTGGACTTCAGTTAAGTCAATATGGACCTTGGCTTTCTCAGTCTAGCATTTTGATGACATCATGCTAATAGGTCTTGGAAAGCAAGTATTTTTAGTACACTGGATGCCTTGGCAATAAGGTAAGAAATAATTTCTTCGTGAAATTTGTGGCATTCCAGTAGCCAGGGACATTTTGGAATATCTCTTCCAAAATGAAAACAATCAACTGTGCTCTATATCAAGAAGTTAGGTGGCCTTACTTGGATTTTGGAAGCAATATGAACTATATTTGTATTTGATGTTCAAGGCATTTTCTGGGAAACAAAAGTTCTTCTGTTTTAAGAGTCTAGAGCAAGAGAAAATTTTCAACAGGTCTAGACTATGGTATTCAACTTTTATGACCCTGTAGGTTCAGTGTTGTTTGAAGTGTTTGTGCCAGATTGTGATGCTGTGTATAGCCTGTGGCAAGCCTCTACAGGGAAGTCACAGAAGACTCATATTTTTAGAACAAAGCTATGGCCTTTTGCAAGTATGTAATATTGTCTCAAGAAACAGTTCCTAACTCGTGGTGAATTTTAGTCAGCATGCAAATCTGGACTTCACTGGTTTAGATATTTTAGTCCCAAAGCAAAGACTGCTTTTAACAGGAAACATAGCCATGATACTATTGAATTAGGAAGTTGAGAATACTTCTTGGCCATTTGTGTCCATGATCCATCAGAAATTAAATTGATATTTTAATACTCAAAGAACACTGGCCATCTAATGTTCTTGCCAAATGCAGGGGCAATGTGGTAAGGCAGGATGGGAGTCATAAATTCAGCTCATAATAATTTCAGAAACAAAAACTATATCTACCACCCTATTCCCTTCCTTAATGTTTAATGAATATATTTATATATTTTAACCAATTTCCCTTGTCTTTCCTTTTCATTCCTTCTATTAGACACAAGAAATGTAGGTGAATATCATGATGAAGTTGGTTTGATAATTCTAGAAAGTCAGTGAATGGCCAGAAATCCTCAACTCAGAACTGAAGCAAGTAATTTATAGAAATTTGAGGAGACTTCTTACAAAGCAGAGGTAAGACAGTTCACTGAAATGTGAAGCACAGTGGCATTGTATAGGCTGTGGAGTTTTTTGTTTTGTTTTGTTTTCTAATTTTCATGTAGATTTGGGAAGAAGGGTGTAAGTGTGTATGTTAAGCAGCAAAAAGGAGTGAAGACAGTTGTCATTTGACATACAGAATTTGTAGGGGACAAATATTCCAAGCCCCTCTTCCAAATGGCACTTTGATCTCTGAGAATAATCTTTCATTGTGTGTGATCATTAAAGTGCTAGTACCCAGCTCCTGCTGCAAAGAATACTGGAGCCAACCTGTCCCATTCTCTACCTGGATAACTAAGGAATGAATATTTGATGTAGAGATTGGGGTCACTGAATCTCAGAGAAAACTAATCAATGTTGTAAGAGATGTCTGGAGGTCATTTCACAATCGCCACAGCACAATGCCTCAGGGGCACTGTGAACCTGCTGCGTAGCTCCTTCTGTGTCTCCTGCCGTCCAGTCTTCCACAGATCCATGGGTCCTGCCTATTTCCCCAGCCTAGTCCTTTAGTCTCAAATCAATCCTGGGCACCCCAACATCCTTCCAATAAATTCTTTTAGCCTAGACAATCGAGTTATTTTTTTGTTTGTTTGTTTCTTATAGCTGTGTGTACTGATTTATACAATACTCTGCTGTGTCAAGTTATTTACAGTTTTGCATTCAGATTCCTTAAGAGACAGGAGACACAATTGGATTAGACAGCCACCATTCAGCAAGAAAGATTCTAGTTGGGTACATATGTTATCATGCTCCATCCTTCAGGCCACTCACCAGCATACACATTTTGTTCTGTGGTCAAGGACTCAACCTAGTTCAATCCGTCTCTTTGGTAGAGTCACACACCATCAAGCACAACAACCTATAAAGATGTTTATGAGAAGGAGGCTGTAACTCATGAATAAGGGTCCTTCACTGAGATGCTCTGAACTTCTCAGAAAGGGTTGGTATAACCAGTTTGAACCTTGTGTGGCTTTATGGGGACAATATAAAAGCCTCTGAAGATTTTCCTCTCCATGTCAGTGAATTCCAGCTGCTAAAAAACAAACCCTCAAGTGATGGTCCCAAGAGCTTTTGCAAATATTCACCAAGGGAATCACAGTTAAAGTTCAGTCCTATTTCTCCTTACCTTCTTAATCACTACAACTTATTATGTGCAGTTTCAAGAGCTCCAGTTCCAGCCCAGGGGCTGTTGGTCACTGATTCCTGATTTTGTAGGACACTGCACAAAGGTACAAATTGTATTCTCTGGCCTGAAAAGGAATGCAGGTTTTTGAGAGGATAGCAAGCAGAGTTTTTTTGTGAACCGGGAGAGTTTAGGCATGGGAAGAAACAGACTTGTGGAATGTTAATTATAGGTGGTGATTATGACAATGGGTTGAATATTATGTTCTTTCTCAAAAGTGATGGCTCAATGTGTGATGACCAATACTGATGAAGCCTTTTTACCTTAATTGCGATTTTGTAATCTAGATTATCCTGCATGCTGCTAGTTGCCATTCACCTTCATTATAGGTTTTGCAAATTAAACAGTCACTCTGTGGTATGTGGCATAGGTGCAGAAGGCAAATACTGCTTGGGGAAAATACATTATTAAATCTACAGAGTAAGATGTTACAGGCACTGTGCCTCCAAACCACAATCTCCATCTTCTATCCCTCCTGGGATGAATCCAGGCTCCCCCATACATTAGAAACAGAGAAACTAAAATCTAATATTTACATATTAGCATAACAAGAATAAAACGCTCATGGGCAATTTGTGAGTGTTTATTAACTGCAACCTAAAACAGTGTAACCATGGCAGTGCCTTTTCATACACAGATGACAAGATGGGATTTCTTCCCTGCCTCCTTCTTTGTTAATTCTTCCTCTCTCTATCACTGGTAAAACAGGATGGAAGCGTAATAACTCACAGGAAGCGGTCAGTGCCAGTAGGACAAAAAAATCCTCTTTGGTAGACTTCCTTGGGAAGAACTTGAAGGACTTAAAGACTGCCCCAAGCAACTAACTTTTGGGATGCAAGGTCCCACAGGGCCCCTCAGGTGCCTTTAGGAATCTCCAAAGAACTGCCTAGCAGATATTTAGGGCCCTGAAAGGAGGCAAGAGGCTTAAAAGACCAAGAAGAATGCCAAGGGAGAAGAGATAGGACAATCAAAGTGAAAAGATACTTACAGGCCCCATGTGAGGTTGATTCTGTATGAACTGATAGGTGACTTCATGCAAAAATAAAACAACAGGCCGGGCGCTGTGGCTCAAGCCTGTAATCCTAGCACTTTGGGAGGCCGAGGTGGGCGGATCACGAGGTCAGGAGATCGAGACCATCCTGGCTAACAAGGTGAAACCCCGTCTCTACTAAAAAACATAAAAATCTAGCCGGGCAAGGTGGCGGGCGCCTGTAGTCCCAGCTACTCGGGAGGCTGAGGCAGGAGAATGGCGTAAACCTGGGAGGCAGAGCTTGCAGTGAGCTGAGATCCGGTGACTGCACTCCAGCCTGGGCGACAGAGCAAGACTCCGTCTCAAAAAAAATAAATAAATAAAAATAAAACATCAAAACATAGTAACCACTTGCAAAACAATTTTACTCTTCTCTCTGTGCTTTATTTGTGTACTTGGGGATCTCTTTTCAGTAAAGGATGTATCTGCATGTCCTTCCAGGCACTGTGGATATAACTATAGGATTACCTGCTTCATGCTCATATTTTGTCAATTTCCTATAAGAGTTGAATACAACTTATATTGCAACGAGGCCCTGGAAGACCAGCACAGTCCCCATATACTTTCACGTTGCCGGGCATAGACAGGCACATTAGGCTACCTCTCAACAGACAGAGATACATTCTATGTAAATATCATGAATTAAGGAGAAAGGATGCACTCTGAGAAGCTACCTTCCAGGCAGCCCAGAGAATTAGAGCATTGCTTATCAACATTCAAGATACAACTGTAACTCAAGAAGTAGAATGGTCATTATGGTGGCCCCAATGCAATTCTAGTACTTGTTCCCTCAGAAGGGAGCATTTGTTGCTTTTACTCTAGGTTCATGTTAGAAACACGGCTATTCTTATTCTTAGTTTCTACTGCTTAAGTTGCTATTGATTTTGGTGGGATAAGTGGAGATGGGGAAAAGATCATATTTGAAATATACTTCAGAGCAAGATCCAGCAGGAGCTACTGAGTAAATTTCTTTGGGGACTGAGAGAAAGAAGATTAAGTAGTCATATCTCTTCCTGGTTCTCTGCCTGCCTGCTCTGTCTTCTCTCCTGCTACTTCTCCACTGAGTACTTAGCACACTGCTTTCTCTGCCTCCCTCATTATTGCACAGAACATCTATTCTTGAACCCAATACCAAAGCCCAGGGACACACTTGTAACTGTCTGTCTAACACAGCCATTCTCCTATGGTATAAATATTTGTCTCCTCCCAAAATGTATGTGTTGAAATCCTATCCCCAAAGTGATGGTATGTGGAGGGGGGTCTTTAGGAAGTGATTAGGTCATAAGGGTGGAAGTTTTCCTTGACTATTCCCTCAAATATGTTTTCCAAATTTTCAGATTTATCTTCTTCCTCTGGAACACCAATTAGTCTTAGGTGCGGCTGTTTAACATGATCCCAAATTTCTTGGAGGCTTCATTCATTATTCTTTTTTCTTTACCTTTGTCAGATTGGGTTAATTTGAATGCCTCATCTTTGAGCTCAGAAATTCTTTCTTATACTTGTTTCATTCTATTGCTGAAACTTTCTAGTGCATTTTATATTTCTCTAAGTGTGTTGTTCATTTCTGAAAATTGTGATTGTTTTATTTTTATGACATTAATTTCTCTGGAGCATTTTTCAGCTGTATCCTGTATTTTTAAAAAATTTCTTTAAGTTGGTTTTCACCTTTCTCTGTTATCTCCTTGAGTAATTTAATAATCAACCTTCTACTTCAACCCTGAAAATACCATCATTCTTCACAGAACTAGAAAAAACAAGCCTAAAATTCATATAGAACCAGAAAGACCCCACATCGCCAAAGCAAGACTAAGCAAAAAGAACAAATCTGGAGGCATCACATTACCTGACTTCAAACTATACTACAAGCCTATAGTTACCAAAACAGCATGATACTGGTATAAAAATAGGCAAATAGACCAATGGAACAGAATAGAAACCCAAAATATAGTCAAATACTTACAGCCAACTGATCTTCAACAAAGCAAACAAAAACATAAGGTGGAGAAAGAATATCCTATTCAACAAATGGTGCTGGGACAATTGGCAAGTCACATGTAGAATAATGCAGCTGGATCCCCATCTCTCACCTTATACAAAAATCAACTCAAGATATCAAAGACTTAAATCTAAGACCTGAAACCATAAAATTTCTAGAGGATAACTTTGGGAAAACTCTTCTAGACATTGGCTTAGGCAAAGAGTTCATGACTAAGAACCCAAAAGCAAATGCAATGAAAACAAGGACAAACTGATTGGACCTAATTAAACTAAAAAGCTTCTGCACAGCAAAAGAAATACTAAGCAGAGTAAACAGACAACCCACAGACTGGGAGAAAATCTTCACCAACTATGCCTCTGACAAAAGACTAATATCCAGAATCTACAAGGAATTTTAAAAAATCATGAAAAAAACAATCCTATCAAACAAGAAAAAAAATAATCCTATCAAAAAATGGGCTAAGAACGTGAATGGACAATTCTCAAAAGAAGATATACAAATGGCCAACAAACATATGAAAAAATGTGCAACATCACTAATTGTCAGGGACATGCAAATCAAAACCACAGTGAGATATCACCTTACTCCTGCAAGAATGACCATAATTTAAAAATAAAAATTAAAAAAAAAACCAGATGTTGGTGTGGATGTAGTGAAAGGGGGACACTTTTACACTGCTGCTGGGAATGTAAACTAGTACAACCACTATGGAAAACAGTATGGAGATTCCTTAAAGAACTAAATATAACTACCATTTTACCCAG